TTAATTTATTTGTCTGCTATGATAAGGAGAGAGCCAAATCATTTGAGATATTTTCTAACCACTCGATACCACTCAATCTCCAAAATGGTATGTGCTACAAAGAGCGGCTTGCAGGACCTGAACGTAAATGCTTGAGACAAGATCATCTTCCATTGTGAGTCAATTAAGACTATTCGAAGGAGGCTATGTCAGAGTTGCTTTATGTTTTTATTCGAGAATACACATATAATATAAGAAATAAACTATGCATGCACAAAGGCCAAAACAACAAATCCTCAGAGGACAATTGTTAAAATGATACATGTTTTGTGTTCCTTAAAGAGGCCCTATTATGCTTTTGGGGGTTTTCCCTCTCCTGTAGTGTGTTATATAGGATGTTGTGCATGTAAATGGTCTGCAAAGGCTAAAATCCCTGTTTTCCCCTGCCTGAAACGTCTCCATTGGACTCCTTTGTTTACTTCGGTAACACAAAGGCATCACTATGTAACACTTGTGCTTCTATTGGCTGGTGCTCCAACACATTGTACGTGATAGGCAGGGGAGTGGAACATTTCCTATTCATAAGTGATTGACCAATCTCAACAGAGCCGGCCAGCTAACCAATCAGAGCAGACTGGGCTCTGGTTTCAGACAGAGGGTGAAAAGAGGTGCTGCAGCACAGGCAGTATGAGAACAATACAAATATTTTGTAATATCTGCAATTACCAATGGAAAGTACAGTACCTCCACAAATCATATGTATATGGCCGAGCCACATCAATTGGCTCCTATCAACATGAGGAAGTAGTGGTTCTTCTTGATGTCTTATGTCCTTCTCTTTCCCAGGAGTGTCGTCGCAATCTCATTCGAGCAACTTGTATGTACAATGTGAATCTTTAGGTCCTCCCACCAGCAATCCAATACTAGATGCATTACTGAATATTGCCTCATTAATTGTGACTATTGTTTTTCTAAAGCACTGACCCAGGCAGAAACCATCATGAATTGTTTTAACTTGCCCACTCATGGATACAAGGTAGACAGTCAGTGCCTGCTATATGGCATACTTGCTCACACATTGGATTGCTCAGTGGTGGTATGGCTGCTCTCATCACAGGCATTCATGCAAATCAAGTTCAGATGTAGTTCATTCAATATCTTGGTTGAGCAGCAGCAGTTCCAGTAGAAAGCTCAACTGGCGAAGACAGAGGTTGAGCTTGTAAAGTGGGTGGATGCTGGACACAATAAAAGCAAGAGCAGCCCAGTGTAATCCAATTACATACAGTGTATACATCCCATATGAAATCCAATGTAACATCACTATAACCTGTCTAAAATATGCATTGTGTTAAATCAACACCTCTTGCACAGTCTCAAATGAACATTGAACGATAAAAGACGGCTAATAATGCAAGACTAAAGAATTGGATTGCATTAAATTGTGCAGTTTTTACTTTCATTGTGTCCTTTTTGTGAAGGATATAGCATAATGCACCATGTTGTATTAAGCATTGTTCAGATTTCCAGCCCATATCTGTTTTACAGAGTGATTTTAAACTTTCTCGGCAGCAATAAGACATTAGATGCCATTTTATTTTTGGAAATTAGATCCAAAATACTTTTTAAAGTAGTATGAAATGCAAATCCAATTACATTTTTTAATCATTGGATGAGGACTACTTTTGTATCCAGTCAGTACTTGGCACCAGCACTCTTTCTGCACAGTGAAGCCAGCCATCAAAGCAGCACGGAACATCACAATGTATACCAGCCTCCTCCATAGCCTCAATCATATTCAGTGAAGGAGGAAGAATTTTTCGATAATCTGTGCTGCAGTCATGATTGATAAGTCTTGCATTGCAACTCAACGGTGTTATTGATTGGAGGACGAACCGTTGAACCTTCATTTGTCCTGCTTCCGCGTTGGAAAGCTGCCTCACTAGCAAAGCTATGGTATCACTTAACACGACTTTGGACTGGAGTTAATATAAATTCAACTTGATCAGATTTGACTAATATATCTATTGATTAATGATCTCATAGATTATTGTACTGAAAACCTGTGAGGGTGACTTGTTATGTATGGTCAATATTACATTTAAAACTGCAACCATCCGAGTGAAAACCTTTCTCTCTCTGAGATAAGTACTGCATGCTGACATGTATTTTCTGAATCAGAATGAAGTACATTTACACATACAAGGAATTTGCTTTGGTGTATGGGGGTTGCTAACATATAAAACATGAGAAAATAAGTTGAACGAAAACGTAAACAAATATGAGAGTTTATATGACCACAGAGTTTGAAGGCAGATGTTCACTAGTTCTCCCTGAAGAGAGAGTCCTTCCTGGGATGAAACAGATCTCTCTGCGTAAAAAGCTGTATTCAGAGAGTTAAAGTGAACATCATTTTGTTAGGTAACTGATTACATTGGTTGACTTGCTCTGGACTTTATAGGCTTGCCTAGACTTCATCTTAATTGTTAAGTAGTCAGTGCTTGTGCGCATTGGCACTTAACCCAGAGATAATTAGTCAATTAAACAGCGAGCATTTACTTGGCTGTTATATATTCTGACATTTATAATTGGAATGTAGTTGTTTTGTCTTACTTTGTTGAGCTGCTGATACTGCAAGGCTTATTACCCAGTATATTCTTATTTCCTTTTAAATTAGAAAAAGTAATTCTGTGTTTGGATTTAAATAACTTTACCGGTAGCAATTTCATGAATAAAGAGAAAGCTCGTTACGCCATACAATATTGTGATAAGTTTGTCCTCTGGATGCAAGCTTCCCTTATGAATATAAATCAACTTTCAAATTGTGCACACATGAACAAGCATTTATTCCCACCCTGTTAACTCCCACAATTAGCCATAAGTGGGTAATGAAATGCCTTTCATGAATATTGATATGCTTGTAAATGTCTTTTGTCCTTCCAGCTTTTTTTTATTTCTGCTGGAGTAAATGGAAAGGATTACAAATAGAAATATTGTGCCACCGAGGTACATGCTGCCAGGTCGAGGCAAGGTTAAAGGTATTATTGACTTACCTTCGTTCAGGTTTTGTGACAACAGCGACGGACAGTGTTCAGAGAACAAACAGCCTTCAGAAAAACTAAAATAGAAAAAGTTGACAACAATGTGTCAGTGACAGTGGTGGGGGTGATTGAACACCAGAGCTCTCTCCCCTTGACAGACCTTGATAAAAAGAAGCTAATTAAATGCAATGTGACAGAAGAACATGGTGACTGCAGGCAGGCTCAGCAGATGTGGACAGTGGAGATAAGCCTCTAATTGATTGACGCTTGCATTCTGTTTCCTTCCACTAACCACATTTGTTTTATAGAGCAGCCTTGTTATTCTTTCAATTAGGAACAGCAGCGGAGAAGGGTTCAACCCAGGTGACAAACTACATGTAAGCTGTGGAGAACTGTGACAAAAGCTTGAATCGTGCAATTAGCCGCCAGCCAAATGTTAATCACAGCCTCCCCCTCCCCGATAAGCACTGTACCGTTTTTAGCAATGTATGCTTGTCCTTGACTGTTCCTGATGAAATCAACATTCAAACTACTTGAAAACATTTTTAATGGCTGCAATTAGTCAGCCCTTTCTCTCTCAATGGCACAACACAAACCATGTCACACTAATGAAAGCTCAGCGCAAGTTCAATCAGGAAGACCAAGCTCTTCATTCATATTACATGTCATTTCAATACTCTCTCCTCCCTCATTCAGTGATCGGGGGCATCACTCCCCAGCTAACCAATCGCTCCTCTCTCCATTCTCACAAGCCTATCGTTGCACCCGCTAATCCCTTTAAATTTGCTCTTCCCTCTTGTCAGCTGTCATTCCAGGTGACAATATGCAACCCTCCTCCACCCCTTCGCCTCCTGTCTCCTACAGGGCCAAGCTAAACCTTCTCCCTTCAGACCGGTCTCACCTACTTATCACCACCACCAGTGTCTAGACCCCGGGGGGTTTCATCTGAGCGGTTCTTCCCCCTCCTGAATGATTATCCTGCAAACTGGGGCCTAATCGCCAAACACCATTCCATTCACCTGTTATAATTCTGGCAATCATTATTACATTCATATTATGTGTCCCGGTAATAAATATGTATTTCATACATCAACGTCTCTCCTGATTGAAATGTCATTTGAGAGATGCAAAAACGTATACAACTCATGGTTCATTATTTCAAGGCCCTTATAGGTACATTTTGGGTAAACAGCAGTTGAGGGCATCTGAAATGTACTGTAGGGATTTGGATGAAGTTTCCAGTGAGCACACATAACAACTGAACTGTTAGCTCTCAACAGCTCAGGTTCTGGACAGTTCATGTCCTTCACATGGCCAAATCATTTGGCTCAAATAAATCCATCTGAATACCACAGTCAGCCAAAATCCTCACCCTCGTCCAAAACGCCAAATTCACAATCAGTGCGAAAAATAAAATGTACTTCGACCTACACAAGATATAAAAAATGTATTCTCTGTAACATGGGTCATAATGTCAAAGAAGTCAGAGGACTCCGTAAACGGCTCTTCACCACATCATGAAACCAGCTGCGGCTGAAGCATCCACTGCTTCCTTCAAAAGTCATTGCGGGGAAACTTGTCACAGTCCTCACTTTTCCACTCTCCCGTGGGAATTATGCAGAACATCCTCAATCATATTCCAAAAAACATGTCCATACTATAGGAGTGAATTCTGAAACACTAAACTCTATACGCCTCATTAACAATCCGTTGCTATTATACATCTAAAACATTGTGGGCATTTGTTCTCACTGCCTTAAATGTCAATTCAGGGTTCATGTTGTTACTAAGGAAGCATTAACTAAAGAGTTCAAGAGTTTTATCTAGAACTCAGTTATTTATTTTAAATATTAGCAAACTATTGGCAAATCTGTGGCTTATAATTCTACTAAACCCTCATAAGCATATCTGCCCTCTTTCCTCAAGTAAACCTCTCTCATCTTACTGCTTTTCTTTCTCTTTTTTGTTTGTCCTCTCTGTTAGAGACAGCTGCTGAGTTGCATTCGTGGGGGGAACTGCCCTGGACCCAACGTCAGCTCGCTGCAGGTGCCTGGAGATGTGAATTTCTTCGCCAACCAACTGGCGGTGCCCACCGTGGAGTTCGCCTTCCAGCAGACCAAAGCAGAAGAGGTACTCATGCCAACAAACCACTTTTTTCCCTTCACTTCCAATGCTCTTATTTTGCAAACCGATGGCCTTTTAGACAAACCCTCTCATTGCCTCACTTGAGTGTTATTCTAATGGGTATGTTCAGTAAGGTAAGATTTAAGCCAATTAGCAACAGTACAAGGAATGCCAACAAAACTGTGGAGTCTACTTAAACGACTTGTCTACACTACAGTATCAAAAGCAGTGCTTAAGTCAGCTAGTACTTAAACTAAGAGCTTGCTATTTTCTGCATTGAATTTGAGGTCATTTACAATCTTTACTTATGCTTTATTGGGTGCTATGATTAGCATGGAATCCATATGGTTTACTTGAAAACACTTGTGGGAGTTGATCAGATCCTATAACTGATTCTCTAAAACTTCACTCAATGGCACATCGGAAACTAGTCGGTAGTTGTTAACATTTAAAGCATCTTAATTGTTTTGCTTCAGAATGGGACTTAAGCAGTATTTTAGGAAGTTAGAAAGATATCTATCTCAAACTAGTGGTTTACTATGTTAAGAATATATTCAATAAACAAGTTCAAATCAGTTAAAAAGGAATGGCATCTTAAAAGCCGGTTGTGGTTTTTATTTGTGAAATAACATTGCCAGGCATCTCAACATTAACCAGGATTGTTTAGGACTTCATGACATACTGTACAAATAATGACTGAGCTTCATTACTTGAGTTATGCTAATGGATTTGATCACTGCAGTGCAGGGAATCTACTCTAATTCATGTAAGACACAGTCACACCGTGTTTCCCAGCTGTGAACGGCTTTATTTGGAACTGCTATTAGCCATGGGCCACAACTTGTTTATCTTTAGCTCTTAATTTGAAGTCAAGTCTTTCCTGGGAAGATGCACGCACCTGTCAGTCAGTGTGTATAACAAGCTGAAGGAAAGTGTCATGGGGTAAGTACACCTACACTTGTCAATTTGTCCAGTTCTCACACATTGCGGAGTGGATGTGATAATAAGCATCTGCTGCCTATAAGACTAATACTATTATTTAGATGTGTCAAGACCATTTGCAGACTTGATACACAGCAATATGGATTATTTCTCTAGAAACTCAACACATGCACATCACAGAGCTGACTAATTAGTCATGCCCCATTTACCTCTGCTAAAAATGCAGTATTGGTGTTTGTTGTACCGCCTTGGGGTGGAAACACAAAGATTTAGCCCAAGCTAAGTCGGCCCACTCAAATTCAGAACTGCTGGCTAGGATGGCAACTTTGAGCCTAATTAGTGCGAAAGTTCTTCATGATGTTTATCCGGCCCCGAGGCATCCTCACAACCTGAAAATAATAGGTATCGGAGGGTGAAATCGGCAGGCTTCAGAATAAAAAAGGGAAACCCTGGTTTAATGGAAAACAGTCAGATGTATTAATAGGCTTGGCTCTGTTTGGGGGAAGTCCAGTATGCAGACATTAGCATAAGCTTAGCATTCATACTGAACTGTAGTGTTAAAGATCAATGGGTAATCCCATTTCCTGTATTATTTAATTTCTCTACTGACACTATGGAAAAGCAGAGCGAGAATAGAGGTAACACATTTTCGGGCAATGCATGCCTTCAAAAAGAGAGTAGTAAATGCCTAGCTAATGAAAGGATGCTTGTATGAAGTACTATGCAATATTCTGGTCTTGGTTTTTGTTTTTTGTTTTATTGACTTTATTAATTAGGGACTCGGTACAAAACACAGGGGACACATCACCCTCGACATTTGCACAGTCTCCATTTGTCCCACCCAATGAAAGTAACAGAGTACTTTTTGATTAACTGATAGAAGAGACTTATAGTCTCAACAATGCCGCTGGTACAGTAAGTTGTTCCACCTCTACAGCATGCAATCCGTCAAAGAAAAACAAGAAAAGCTTACATTTCCTGTTTAGTCCCCCTAAAGTTTATAATTGCATATTTGTTGGGATATCTCAAGGAAAAGACTGGAGAGGAGTTTACGTTTTGAGTGTTTCATTGCAAGGAAAAGCAAAGTTACCCAATGCAATCTCTATAGTCATTCAATCATTCCCTTATCGACTCGTTTTCTGTTCTGTTCTTTGGATTTATTTATCTAGATTATATAATCATGCTATTCTGCTCCATGCAGCTGGGTCATCATGTTTTGGTGTCAACCTGTTCTTGCAGTTTTTGGAAATGGAAGTGGTTTCAAAGTACAAATGGTGTACATGCGGACAGGAAGTCCAGGACAGCTTATGCAGTCCTCTCACTATGGATTGAAACTATGACTTTTAGTTAGATGCGTGCACTCTCAGATTATGACCATGGCATTCTTGCAATAAATATCATTTATTATATCCAAAAACTGCGTGTGTTTGCAACACGGTCAAAAACGGTTTGCTCACACAGCCTCAATCAGCCACACCTGTGCCAGTGAGGTCACCCAAATACCCTGGGCCATACAAATGGGCACAACATATGCTATAATCTCAATACATGTCTACTAAAACCTCAGGTGTCCAAATGACGGCACATTGTCCATTTTGAATTTTCCCTCAGCAGATTCAAAAAGTTTAAAGGAATATGGCCCAAACCTGAAACTCTACTTTTCTTATATTGTACTTCTTAAATATATATTTAAACATATATGACACAGTAGTATTCATGTTTTAATAAGCCCACGTTTCAAATAAATTCAGTCAATTCAAGTTGAAAACTTTTTCTAATAAATAGTTATAGACAATGAAAATAATGTAATTGCATAACAAGCTTGAAATATACCCTTCATATTTCCCCTTATTATAAGCAATGTGATGCTTCTGTGTGAAGGTATGAGCAGCCAACACACAATGAATTAAAAGCTCTGATGTAGGATGGTTTTTTTCTTATTCATATATGCAGCATATTCAAATATCAAGCCTATGACATACATTTCATTGATTTTGCTAACTTGTGACTTCACTTATGAGGCAATGTACCTCACCTCTAGTGAGTGACCCAGCCCTTCGTATATTTTTCTGTATGTGGCCCTCAGTGAAAACGTTTGGACACCCCTGGCTGAAACGGACTGTTTGCCAGAATTCAAACTCCCGGTGACTCATAACGGGTTAGAACACCTGTGGAGAGCTCGGAAATGTTCAATGGCAATCATTTCATAGTTAGAAAAGTTAATAAAACGCCTCTACCTCCGGGCCGAACAGAAGGCCAAACGTACATCACTCAGGCCAGTTTGAACATTTGATCTACTCTCAGACGCTCAGTGAATATGAGGCCAGCCAGGTATATATCTCAGATGATGAACTCAACTGTGAGGAGAGAGGTCAGACACCCTGTAGGCGTGAAGAAGGTATCCTGAGCAGTGACTTGCATGCATTATCACACCCCCGACACCACTCTCCTCTTGATCTATTAAATGACAAATATGTTGAAATGTAGAGGTGGTTGTGTTTCAGAAGTGTGTAGCAGTTGCAATGTTCTTGCCACACTTTTTGTTTGTAACTAGTGCAATGTGTGGGCTAAAAAGTAAGATTTGAACGGCATGTGTCCTACTGTAGGATATAGAAACAGCATCATTATTAAATCTGATTTTTCACCTTTCATCCCAACAACACTGTCAGTTTGTGATATGATGAGCCCACATTTCTCCCAGTTATTTTTTACATTTATATATTTTTAACAGTCATATACTGTGTTATTCATATCTCTCCCACACACAGATTGTGTCCTGCTCTTTGGTTTTCATGCTATGACATATTATCAGTGTTGTCATGGTGAATAGCCCTTATTTTGAAGAGGAGGCGGCAGCATAGCTGTGATACTGATTTTCATATTCTCTCCTACCAAAAATTAAGTATAGAATGGCAAAGGGTGGTCGGTAACTGCAGATTCAGTCAGATACTGAATTTAAGTAGCATTTTCTGGTATGTGATGTTGCAAATCCTCTATTCCACCACATTCATTGGACGGATCATTATGTCCAGAAGTTACTTTTGGGATTAGGATTCTAGATAAGATATTCATTGCTAAGATTAAACCCTAGTCCCTAACCATTTGGCTTGTGACCCCTTGTAAAAAAACATGTCTTTTCGAAGCCCTTTGCCATTTTTAGATGTTAATTGTTCCATTTCATCAAAGACACATATCCCCTCTTATATCTTAGTTGGTTTCATTTGAAAAACTGTTGGTGGCCTTTATCCATTATTTAAATAAAAAGGAGAAACTATTAAAACTTCTACTGAACCTTTAGTACTGGTTCATAATATAGTGGTTTTCTATTTAATTACAATGACCTTTTAGCTATAAAAGCAGTTTACATTGTTGAATTAGGTGGGGCATGGGAAGGGAGTTGCCAAGTAAAAAAAGTACAACATTTCAAACTTTTTCTAGGGATAAACCTTTTTTTAACCACTGTCAAACACGTGATAGGTATGTATTTAGCTTGTGACAGAAGACCGGCACTGACTTTAGTAGACAAACGTTTGTTTGTTACAGGACATTCTTCCAGGAGGCGCTCTTGGGAATGAAACCAACTTATTGTGGGTTAGATTCGGCTGCTGCGGCTCAGGGGTTAGATGATTTCCTCCTATCGGAAGGTCAAGGATTAGTTCTCGGGCCCCTGCAGTAAACATGTTGATGTGTACTTGGGCAAGATACACAATATCTCACATTTGCTTCCGATAGCTTGTATGAGTGTGTGGATGTAAGTCTCCTTGAATAGTTGGCACCTTGTATGGCAGCATATGGCTCAGCTGACTTGAATATGTAAAAGCACTCTAAGGGGGGAAAGTCTGGATGAAAGTTATATTAATGCAGTCCATTTACCTTAAGCGATCAATCGCCATATGTGATGAGTTACGGGAGATGTATCCGGATGAGCATCTTACTATGTAAATGTATCCTGTAAATATAATGTATGATGTCCTTTATTGTTTTATGTTTCATGTGGAACCTATATGCTGCAGGTCACCGTTGAAAAAGAGATCTATGATCTCAATGGGACCAATCTGATTAAA